GCTGATCTCCAGAGCCCCCCCTTCCCCTCCTCCCCCAGGGCAGTACCTGAGAGTGAACGGCATGGTATCGAAGCGCCTCTCCACCTCGCTGAAAAAGGCACGGGAGGTTTTCATCTTCAGGCCATACTGTTTGGAGGGGTCCCTTTTGTAAATGGTGGTTCTCTGGCCCGCGTCCTTCGCCTGCAGAGGCAAGAGGGGCTGAGGGGGCAGCACCAAGGGGCTGCCAACGCCGGTGCCCCCACACCCTGACCTGTTTTGGGGCAGAAAAATCTCCCCCCCTCAAAGACGCAGCGATACCGAGGCAAAGAGAGAGCCACTGGTGAAACTGGGACCCCCCCAAAAATGTGGCCGTGGGGCCCCACTGGGTGCTGAGTCTCTCCTGAAACACACACGTGGGTGGAGAGGAACCAGACTCACCTTTCCCTCTCCACTGCTGACGAGAACATCAACGGCGTAGACTTCGTGGACCTCAAATTCTGCTTTTTCGTGGTCCTTCCTGGATGAAAAGAGAGTCTGGTGAGTCAAAGGATGGGAGACAGAGAGGACAAAGCCTCCTCCACGGCCACAGAACCACCACCAAACCCACGCAGGGCTCAGCCACAGAAGGTCACCAGGACACAGTGGTGCTGCAGTGAGCAGAAGAGCACCAGCTGGTGCAGAAGATGCAGAGGTTGGAGATGCCCAGCAGCAGAGCCAGGCTGGCAGAGAAAAACCCCATCAAACCAGAGCTCCTCTTGCCCGTGGCAAAGAGCTCCACCCCCAATGGAAGGGTCAGGGGGGGTCTCAGACACTCAGCACCAGCTCTTGGTCCCATTCCAAGCAGGCCCCACCACACCTGGTGTGTCACCATCTCTGAGAACTTCCAGTCCAAGCTCTGGATTTCAAGCCACCGAGCTCTAAATATTCAGGGTGAAACCCAACCCCAAGAGATACCCGAGGGAGAGGAGCTGCTGGAACAGGATGGAATGATAAAAATCCAGCTCCAACCCCTCCTGAGATGCTCCTGAAGGTGATCACCACCCTGGCAGCTCCTGCCAGACCAAGGGCTGGTCCTGGCACAGCTCCAGGTGAATGAGCACCAGCAGCTACAGCCAGCAACAGTTGGTCGTGGTGCTGGCAGCCTCTGCTTGGAGAAACTGGACAGAACCCAAGAGCAGCTGCAGGTGCCAGCTCCACAAGGAGCCTTCACAGCACTGACTTCCAGCTTTTCTTTCTCCAAACACGGAGCCACGCTCCGTGTTCCCACAGAACAGAGATGATTTGGGGGTAACCAGCTACAGGGTTGCCCATACCCTGGTGAAATGGAACATCTCCCAGCTGATACTGCAGGGAGGAACAGAGTCACCAGTCTAAACCCAGCCATCCCCCCCCAAAAACACTGCTGGAAGCAGCAGCCCCCCCAGGTGCTGCTCACTTCTGCTGGTCTGTAGGGTTCTGGATGATTGTTTTCTCCCCATCGATCACGTGCTGCTTCAGCTGGTGGGACAGCATCCCTGCAGCAGAGAAGAGGAGCTGTTAACGTGGAGTCCATCCAACCACAGCACAGCCAGGGCCCCCCAACCCGTGTCCCTCACCCCACATCTCCACAGCTTGGGAACCCCTCCAGGGGTGGGGACTCCATCACTGCCCTGGGCAGCCTGGCACAGCCCTGGGCAACCCTCCAGGGCAAGAAATTGTTCCTCAGGGGCAACTGAAACCTCCCCTGGGGCAATTTGAGGTTGTTTCCTCTTGTTCCCTTGTTCCTTGGGAGCAGAGCCTGACCCCCCCCTGGCTCCAGGCTCCTGTCAGGGGCTGTGCAGAGCCAGAAGGTATCCCCTGAGCCTCCTTTGCTCCAGGCTCAGCACCCCCAGCTCCCTCAGCTGCTCCTCACCACACTTGGGCTCTAGACCCTTCCCCAGAAGCTTCGTTGCCCTTCTCTGGCCATGCTCCAGCCCCTCAAGGTCCTTCCTGGAGTGAGGGGCCCAAGAACCCAGGGTTTGAGGGGTGGCCTCCCCAGTGCTGAGTCGAGGGGGATGACCCTTGCACTGGTCCAGAGCCCCCCCCCCCGTCCTCACCTTCGATGGGTGTGCAGTGGAACGAGTGGGCGATTTTGTTCCAGGCCTCTGTCACTTGTGTGTTCTGGAGGAAGGACACAGGAAACACATGAGAGACACAAAACTCATCAAATCAGGAAGGTTAGAGAAGACCT